CAGCTTGAAAGCTGCACATATTTTCAAAGATATTTATTTAAGATGTTAATTTGTGCGGAAAAAAGGGATATTATGCTACAAAGAAGAGAACCATGAGACGTCACCATGAAAGAGAATTTGATATTGTATTTATTGGAAAACTGTAGATAAGTAATTCTGTTTAAGTATGAAACACTTTATTATTATATGAGGCTTATAAATGGCATGCATTATAGAACGTGTATGTGACGACTGTAAAATTGGCTCTTTTACGTCAACACATTAACACCGCCATATCGTTATATAGACTTGGCTATGAAAAAAATACTAAAATGATTAAATTCAGCGTTGTAGGTCTTGAATACTCCAATTTCATGGGCGTTTTTGCTTTTTCTTCGCTCAAGATTCCCTCAATACGGGCGATTCGAAATATTGGCCAATCAAGGCTGTCGACCCAATGCAGGCACGTTTGAAAAGGGTCGACAGATTCGCGCGTTGTGATTGGCCAACGCGTTGCAAACTCTTGGAGGCGCACTATTGTACATCGCCCGTATTAGTATTCCAGTTTCGTGTGCATGTAGCGTGTATGCAGCTCGATTCCTCTCTGTTTTACTTTATAACTGGAGAAGGTTTAAAAGTGATTTCTGGCTTGCAGTAAACTTGAACAAACCTAAGATAATTGTTGCCGAGCATGTCAATCTCCGTTGCTGCTGGTTGACCGATTTTTTTCAGAACCCTTCAAAACGAATCCAATAGTGTTTTTTTTTTTAATGTCTCTAACCAAAGTGATTTGATTCACGGCTCGGCGGTTCGGCAAAGCATCTTGAGGTTGGGGAGTTTTTCAACTGCAAATTTAGGTTAATTTCAATCCAATTATTGGTTGGAATTCGAGTGGTTATTGAATTTCTACAGCAAAATCTCCAAGTTCGTCTAAGTAAATGGTGTAACCGTAGGTTCGTGGGATTTTAGATACCGCCTCCCGGTTCCAATCTTGGACAGCTGCGCGTTTTTTAGTACCGGGCACCAGCGATGACGTAATGGCCTGTTGGCGAATTGCGTTTCCCTGTTTTGCATGATAAACGCCCAATGACCTTCAGCATACCGGCGGTGGACACCCGTTAGCCCCGCCACGAAGCAGTCAGGAAACACTCCGTGCGTCAGATACAGAGCGGACGTTTTTTCTTTCGCCTCCAGAAGATGGCCCTGGTCAGCAGAGATGGGTGTGTCATTGCAGAGACCGGGTAAGTGGCAGTAGACACAAACTAAACATTAACACTTACTTCGTCGGATAAATGCTACCGATAAATTCACCAGGCTCCTGAATCCTCTATGAACGACCAGGATAATCAATACATGCGGTGTATTAGTAGAGTACCAGGTGCAACTTGCTTGATAGGCCTAAAAATTCATAGACCAAGTGGGCTTTTCTGTGTCAAATTCCAGGGAGATGATTTACACCTACGACTGTTCAGTTATTATCGAAGTTACTGCAGGCGGACCTACATTGTGCACCTTATTAGCGGCTTAATTTCCACAACCAACCTTACACGTTTTTAATTCTCTGAAAACGGTATAATTATATACATGTACATGTGTCATTAATTAATTAAAGGCATAAAATAAGCTCCGAGCAGCCACTGTATGTAGACTGATCTAGTAAGCCCCGCCCACTGCACACGTGATTATTAACGAGTTATCCTATTGATTCAATACCATGCTGCCAATTCCAGGCACGCGCGTGCTCGCATGTTGTGGACATACGTGTAGAAATTGTCAGAACATAAACGGGGCGGGGCTTATATGCAACGCGTATTAAAACCATGCTCCAGCCTTTGAAGTCCCAGCTCTTACTAGTTTTGTTGGCACAAATACATTGTACATGTTTACACACAATCGGATGAGCTGAAAATGGCTGGGTGTTTTGACGACGAAGAAAGGGGTTATTAAGGAAAAATGAAAATCGAGGACACGTTGTTGCACTTGAGTTCTCATCCTTGAAGTAAATAAATGTACATATACCGCCTCGAACAGAAGTGCCCCCTCATCGGTTGGAAAGAGCCGCGTTGGTCGGGAATGTTCAATTTGTTGGTTACGCTGCGACCGTCACTCGTGCTATTCCGAGTAGTTCGTGAACCACCGAAGTTCAGTTCCGACCATTGATCTCCATTATATAGTCTATAATGGAGATCAATGGTTCCGACCAAATGAGCCTCCGTTGCTAAGAAGACAGCGCCCTCTTTTGGTCCGGCTCGAGGCCCATATTAATATGCCAAGTATATTTTACACCACACAATTTACAGCCAAGTAACCGGATTCGAACTTCCGTGTTTCTTTAATACTTACAACTCATTTCTGAAGTTTATTCATCAAGTCAACGATACCAGCTATCCACCTTTTTCCTAAACCAACGGTATCTTAATTTCCATCATAATATTACTAAACTAAGTACTGGCTATTAAAAATGAGGTAATGGAAAATATTCCTTTCAACGGAAGTTATTCTAAATTTCTATTTAACATGCAAAAGAAAAAAAAGGAAAACATTTAAATAGAAACAATAATGCTACATGCTTCTGTTACCATACATTTACATTTAGTGTGAACGTTTTCTTTTTACAGTTGTGCTTTTTTTCGTGTTGGAAACTTGTTTCAAGTGCAAAATTCTAATTCCTATCGTGGTCCATAGAAAAGGAATAAAACGACAGTCACAATTTCTACAAACGCCTCCCTAGAACTGTCAACTTGTCAGGAGAGCTCTGTACAAACAAGATGGCCGTCTTGTTAACAAAAATAAAGTACTCAGAAGACCAAATTTACTCACTTCGGCAAAATTGAGATATGAGCTTTGACAAGTTCTGCTTCAAAACAGATCAATTAATCCCTTTATACTTCTCTTTTCAATTGGTCATTCCTTTTTAATCCAAAGACGATGCCTCAACGGGTTCCTCGACCAAAACCGAGTTTAAAAAACCGGGTTTACTCTATTTACATTCACTAAACCAAGTTTGGCACAAAGTTTAACGGGTTTAGCATTTTAACAGCCATCAGGTACGAGTTGGTTTAGTTAGCAATATAAACAAGTTTAACACCATGGGATAAAAATTCAAACTTCGTAAAAGAAATTCCATATTTTTCTCTCAACCTTTGTGAAAGCATTCTTATTGCTTCCTGTACAAAATTTCAAAGGGTGAATTTTACAAAGGATAGTTTAATTTCATTTTTATCAAATTGGGGTGAAATACGGTAATGCCACAGTGGGATATTGAAGTTATAATTTTAGAGAGCTCAATGACTCCCGAAAACAACAAACTGGTAATCGCCCACAGGTAATCATCCGTGCTTATTGCATTAATGTGTTTCTGAAATTCTGATTCATCCGATTTTTGAAAGTACATGTACTTGACAGGGGACGGCAATGGAATTTCAGTTCATGAAAAGATGTGTGGGTGCATGATTTCAAAGTCTTTAAAGACCTATCCGATTGTAGAAGTGTTTCAGTCACACAAAATGTACTCAACACACGAGCTAAGTCGACTTAGCAAAACGGTACGGAAAAAATTGTGCATATTTGGAAAGACATAAATATGGCATCCGTTGCATAAATTGCTCGTCTTTACGTTGCAGAACGACGTCATGTCTGAATTTACCAACGAGTCCAGCAATTTTGTGTTTAGGTTTAGTTTTGCATGTCCCCTTATTGAGTTTAAATTAACCGCTGGCCCCACATTTATTCAATGAAGATCTACAGCTAGTTCCACAGTAATTCAAATGAAAGGATTTTATAGATGTGAATATTTTCCCTTTGGTTTCACGTAATAGTGATATTGAACATGTACAGATGTTCAGAAGTTCTCACTTGCGAGAAAAAGAATCCATGAACTTTGAACAAAAACTGACATGAGTCCCTTTCTAAATAATCTCAAAGTAACAAAAATTCAGGATACGATCTTGTAAAACTCGGACCGCATCCACGACACATCGCTACGCGCTGTGCGAAAAGACATACACCCCGTGGATTCGACCACTTCTGCCTGGTGGCGCGTGATAAAAGTAGCCTCGGACAAATGGCTTACTTCAGAAAAGTATGGAATGCCTAACAGAACAAAACGCACAGACACGCCCGTCTGAATCAATCCAATGACGAAATACACTTACGATTGATTATCCAATCACAGTTCTTTCTTTTGTGGTTATTCACAAAGCATGACGGTAGGCGCCTGCTCTACTTTCCGAGAACCTATCAACAAAACCATGATCGGCTTGTGCAAATAAGTTCTACAAACTAATGCAACTCCGCCTACTTTTGGTTTCCATCTTTACAAGAAGGCTGTACAACGGTTCGAAAAAATGTATACTCGCGCTAAACTAAACTTTGTACGAATAAATAGTAAAGACTAACAAGTTTTTCCAAAGACTGTACAGGTTTGGACTTAAACGTGGTATTGTACATTCCAATATGGAAGAGAAAAGTGTCGCTGTGATTTGCTTGCATGCACAACGATGCCCGTACCCTGAAGAAGTCCAATACGGGCATTTCACAGTATTGCGCCTCCACGAGTTTGCAGCGCGTTGAACAATCACAATGCGCGAAATCTGTCGACCCAATGCGCGTTTGGAAACGGTCGAAAGATTTCACGCCTTGTGATTGGTCAACGCGTTGCAAACTCTTGGAGGCGCACTAATGTGAATCGCCCGTATTACAAAGTATGCGTACGTGTAAGCCCCCCCCCCCCAATGGTCCTCGCCTTCCTGTTACACGGCATCTGACAACGGTTGGTACACGTAGGTAGGAATTTATTTCAATAATTCAGTGTCAAGATGCTGGTTAGCTGGTAAAAACTAACAACTGCGAGAGGTCGGGTGAAAAGAATTCTAAACCTCGGTTTAAAAGGGTGTGCTACATACAGTCTCGTGCGCGAGTCTGCTGTGCCTTTCTGCACTGAAAACTACCCGTTTGCTCGACACAATTTTTATCTCCCGTTTCCAAGTTAACATTCTCCCCAAATCTTAAGGATCATGCCCCCAAAATTGGGTGGATCAGGAAACAGGATGCGTGACAAGCTTTGTTTAACCTGCCTTTTTAATGGGCATCTGACAATCACAGGAATGATTTTGAAAAGAAATGGCGGACGTAAATCATCAGAGATAACTGCGTTTGTAAAGCTGTCGGTGCATGCCCGCGAAAAAAAGGAGCAGCTTCATGCACCTTTGAAGCGCCCTCTAGTGGTGAATTCTGGAGCACAGACGGAAATCAGTTTTCTCCTTTTTAATACAAAATGAAATCAAGATGGCAGGACATGTACTTCAAAGAACATAAATTCAGTGTGCGAATCTCTGGTGGGCACTTAAAAACAGTTTTCGTTCGGATGTTTTTAACAATTGGCTTTGTTGTCCTTAAGACAAACCAAACTTCAACCCAAAGTACGACCACCAAACTCGAACATAAAAAAAAAAAAAATTCTGCCATTCATCAGCTCCACCGAGTTGGCGTTTCCGGGATAATTTTCATTAACAATCTACAAAAGTAAACCAAAATTCATCTAACAACGTATTATACACGTCACCAAAAAAGGAGCTCAAGGAGTTTGTTTGTTTTTTTTTTCTTTTCTGTCTTGATCTGATTTCTCTTCTCAAGCTCTCCCTCTTTGGAATTTCTTCATTCCTCTTTAATATCATTTTTCGTTGTTTTGGTAGAAAAGAAAAACGAGACTCGGCCCCCAGCTGTACTGCGGTCGCCTAATAGAAAATACTTCCATTTTTCTTTGAAATCACTGACTCGGAGTCTGGCATCTCTGTACTTTTCAAACTTTTAAGACAACATTAAATATTTAAATACAAAATGCTTTTAGTCTCTTTGTACATTCTTTGATTGGTAACAATCAATTGGTCCCATGTTGCGGTTCCGGTTTGAACGGAAGGGATTCCCTGAACTGTAGTCATATCACACTTACGCGGACCCGTCTCTAAGCTTCGCAGAGCGTCAGGCTAACGGACGTATAAAACAGAGACAGAGTGCATTGACTGGAACTAACGTTGATGTCCAGTGCAGAGTCACTGGTTCCCTGTAAGAGTGTAGGCTATGTCGGCACATTGGTGGCAGGGGACCGGCTGAGATTTGCATTGAGTTGTACATGTACACATTCCTGCGAGTTGACCCGAAATGCTATCTGTACTGCTCTGACGAATGCTTTTGAGCAACAAAACAAATTTGGTCGTTTTTTTTTTTTTTTCAAAGATATTTTCAACCCAAATATCAGAGTTTGCAACAACCATCAGCCCAAAAAGCAATCCTGCTTGAAAACCGGTTTGCTTTTAAGAGCAACTGATCCATTATCTTCAGCAGCGACTGCCTAAGGTGATGTCAATTTAGGGAAAACTGTGTTCTCTGAGTTGTACTGTGTGCAGCTAGAGATGTGTCAAGCGAACAAAATTTTTCCACCCACAAAAGAGTTGCTAAAAAACGTGTCTATTTCTTCATTCGTTGGCTGATCAAGAGTACCAACTACTTGGCTGACAAAATGACTAGGTCTTATATCTGGATTGATGATCGATGAGATGCTTAACTGATTAAGATAATTGACCAAATGCAGAAACTGGTAATGTTTTGAGTGCGCAATCACGTACTGATCGAGAACTTTCCAAAATTAACTGATCAATTCAAGATGATTGAAATGAAATGAGATGAAATCTTCTTGATGGACTGATTAGCAGTCGACATTTTTCGTTAGCTAATCAAGTGAATAATCAATACCTCACCGACACCACAAACTGACACTTTAGAGAACTGAGCTACTTTTGTTTTCATGAACTGGCACCCAGCACAGTGCGGCATTTCAAGCGTGCATTTCGGTTTTCGCGAAATGATACCGATCTTAATTCCAGCGGCTAAAACAAATTCTAATGAAACTTTTTGGGGTAAGGCAGTAGGTGTGGATGGATGCGCGGCGCACCACTCGGTGCTGGTTCGTGAAACTCTAGTTGTCGATAGCGTAGTTTTCACAAATCGACACCCACTTACAATTCAGTGTCAGTTCGTGGTATGGACGACGATCATGCAATGGATTTAGTAACTGTTTCGACTGTTGCTGAGCCCAGTGGAAGAAAAGTGATACTTGAAGACAGTCGATATCTACTTGAGTTTTTCTGATCGATTAATTGGTAGGATCTGATGGTTAGATTGATCATCTGTCTAATGATTACAAATTGAATACAGAGATGAATTGTATAAGGCTACCCAAACAAAAGTAATTCATCACAAATGATGGGATGATGTATCTGAGAGAGGAGTGGTTAGTCCAGCTAAACAATACCTCCGAAGGAAAAAAAAAACTGGTATACAACGATATCACCTGCTGGCAAGAAACATTTTGTCAAACCTGTAAACATCGACCGCCGCATGTCACTGTGAAGTGGATTTATTTTTCCTCCCTCCGCCGTGTGAGGACGAGCTGATGCAGCTCATCTGCTTAAGACGAGGCGGGCGTGGCCGGGGCCGGAGGTAATACTGCTGATTCTTGCCCACCTTCTCGCTGCGATCTCCCCTGTCTCCATCCCCTCGCTCTCGCAAGGGCAGTTTCCCTCCCCGTCCTTGGTGGCAGTCTTTTCGTCCTCTCCGTTCTTCTCGGCGACTTCGGCTTCTCTCGCAGTGGTGCCGGTTTCCTCGGGTGCATTCGGGGCTACCGCATCCTTTGCAAGGGCTTCCTCTTTTTGCCCGGCAACCGTCTCCATCTCTGCTTCTTTCATCTCGGCGTCCGCATCCTTCATGGCAGTCTTTTCATCCTCTCCGTTCTTCTCGGGGACTTCGGCTTCTCTCTCAGTGGTGCCAGTTTTCTCAGGTACATTCGGGACAACTGCATCCTTAGCAAGGGTTTCATCTTTTTGCCCGGCAACCGTCTCCATCTTGGCTTCTTTCATCTCGGTGTCAGTGTCTTGTGCTCCGTTCCCAACTTCTGACTTGATCTCCTCTAGTTTCTGCACTTCTTCCTCCTCCTCGTCGTCTTCTTCTTCTTCGAGGGGAGACTCATTCACTGGCACCCCCGTGGGATTGAAGAGGGGCATGGCCCGCAGCTTCCGTCGGTCCTCCACCGTGTCGTTCTTGGCGATCAGGAGGGTGTGACCCAGGCCACAGGTCAGGGCGTGGATGTGGATGTTCTCCAGGGGCTTGACCTCCTTGGCCTGGCAGGAGGAGCGGGGGCCGTTCTCACCATAGCACAGCTCCCCAAACGTGGGCGAGGGCCCCCAGCTGATGATGCTGTCGTCTGCGATCAGAACGATGGAGTGGTTGCTGCAGAAATGCACACGAGACACAGGGTCAGAGCTGACCCTACCCATGCTGAACCCAACAAGGTTATGCAGGATTTCAATGGTCCCTCGGGGGTTAGGGTTAATGGAGTGTTGAGGAGTGTTAGGGTTAATCTTGCTAAATCATGGCTGGAGATACTCCTAGATGTGAGAAGCTATTATATTGATTATAATGTACAACTTTGTGTGTTATTGCAACTGATTTTGTATATGATTTGTTCAAGAACAATCTGCCGGCTGGTGCAACCGAATACATGTATTCAGATATTCAATCAAATTGAAGGTCGAATATTCCAATACTAAATTATTCCAAGTGACTCGGCCCTAAATTGGGTGGGTCCAGTGACGAGAAAGCCGGTGAGTGGATTGTCAAAAAACTACAGAATACAATTCAAACCAGTGCTTCTTACTGCCAAGTATGGTCACTGAAAAACCTCATGATTGGAAAAGGGTGATGGTGAGACATCGAGCCCCGAATTCTCTGCCAGTCTTTCATCAATTGGCTTTTCAGGATCCCAATGGAAAATGTAACGGAACGTTTCTTTTTGTGTTTTTCAAATGGCTACAACGTCAAAATCACTACGTGTACTGATGAAAGGCGTTAATGGCGTTCTGCTAAAGACTTTATTTCAGGAAAGAAAATCTTGGGTGCTCCCCCCCAAAAAAAAATCTGAAGAAATTGGGAATCGAAGAGAAAAAGTCACCCGCTTGGGGCTGCAGACACCAGACTCGGGATCTTCTCACCTGCAACCGATTCCCCGCACCTTCCATCCCGACAGGTCCTGTACAGTCTTCGGATACATGGTGGCCTCTCCCGTTGACTTAGTCTGGCCCCAGAAAAACAGCTGCTCTGTTATTCCAGGGTGAAAGATGAAAAAGAAAACAAAGAAAACACATTAACGTGATGCTGTTATTCCCAAGTGCTCGGTGTCGCGGTACCGCATTTTTTTAACCTGCCCACCAGTCAATCGAAACGAAATTTCGGTTCCACTTCGCTGGGTCCCTGACGCGGGACAACTTTGTTTCCAGGCTGCTACCAGTCGGAATGTTTCGATATTTTGCTGTTCTGAAGTTTCTTTTCCTCGGTGGTTCACTGTTGTTTGAGTGCTTGGCTATGAGGCCGATGAGCAACCCTTTCTCGGAAAAGTTTTCAACAAGCTAGTCTGGATTTGTAATGCGAACAGAAATGAGACCAGAACTGAACAATATCTTCCCCGATTGACATCGCAGCAACAGCGCCCTCTGTGGTCCAGAAAAGCAAGGAGAATTAGAGATGCTTAAAAAAGTTCACTTTTTGATACACCGAAGAAGCGTATCAAATTGTCGTAGAACTGTAACTAAGGAAACTTCGTCGCCCGGAGCCTTTGAGGTTAGGGAAGGGGTGGGGGGGGTGTTGCCAGCTTAGCTGGCTTTGACTCACCGTGGTCCGTCTTGGCCATGGAGTAGCAAGTCCCAGCATTGATCATCTTGGCCGCTCTGTTGCTGGAGGGGTCAAAGGTCTTGAGGAAGCGCGGGATGGGCTCGTCGCGTGGCTCGCTATGACCCAGGCGGCCGTAACCCCCAAAGCCCCAGGTGAAGACTCGCCCCTGCATGTCCAGCGCAACCTGGCGGGGGGGGGGGGAATGCAAACAGAAAATCAGTGGATGGGTAAACTGAAATTGGAAATTTCTGATTCAAAGAACCACTTTAATCTTCGTCAGGATACAAAAACCACGACTAATGATCAACCAATAGCGGCACGACTCATGACGGAAGCTCATTAATATGTATGAACGTTTGATTTTTCATTTTACTTCTCTGCACAGCCACATCGACAGAACATTTTGTGCTGGGCATAAAACTCTTGCTAGTGAAGTTCCTTTAACCTTGCAAAGCAGGAGACCGGCAGGGATGTATCTTTGTCTTTTGTTGGGAAATTTCAGTTTCTTGAGAGATTTCTCACTCTCATTTCGGCAGAGGGAACAAATGCACCGTCTTACTGTGTGGTTAGCCCCGCATGCCACGTCTTTGATGACGATGTTGTCCAGGAACTTGATGCCGTCACGGTTCTTCTCAATGTAGCCACCGATACGTCGGGGTGTCAGGACGCAGTCAAATGAGGTTTTGTTGGAGGTGACAAAGTACTGTCCGTTGGTGTTGTGACCTGTTTGGTCGCAGAAAAAAAAAGGTAACAAGAAAGATCAATGTAACAAATACCTTCTATCAGCCGATCTGTCAAAAATAAATTACTTGCCACAAATTCCCCTAGTGGCCAATAAATCTTGCTCAAGGAATTACCAAGGGTCAATGGTATTCCGTAAGTATAAAAATCAAGCATAAAAATGGCAGTGTCATTCGTGCACGTGTACAATTACGATCGCGGCAGTAAGCTTCCCACAATGCTTTGCACTTCCTACTTAAAATATAGTGACTGAGGTCAGAGGTCACCAGTATTATGCATTATGGGTGTTTTTGACCTATTAGGAACACCAGATGGCCTCCCCGTGCAGGAAAGACTGGCGCAAAACCAGTAGAGGGATACTTCAGGATCTCCATTTCATCTGCAGGCCTGCCTTCTCCAAATCACTTTAAAACACTTCACTACTAGAACAAACTGAAAATACTCTTGCACGCCAGTGCCACAGCTCACAGGTCAATGCATCCCAACTAGGAAATACACCTGCACTGAGTCTCACCACGAGCAACTAGATTTGTAATGATGCAAGCCAAAGGCAAAAACTACTGAAAAATATATCATGAACAAAAAACTGTATTTCACTACTAGAGCGCTAACTCGCCGTGCAAAGTGGAGCCTGCCAGGCGCATCCATGTTTATGCACAAACCTAGAGAAAACTTGAAATTTGTCGATGCTTTTGTGTGGCTATTTGGACATCTGCATTTGTATTCTAAAACGATGAGTCAACAAGCCAATATGCCCAAAACTAAAAGCATTATCACTAAATGAGCGTTTTGCTGTTTTCAGTGTAAAAACAAACCCAAATCTTACATGTACGTGCTGCAGATGCTAAAATCAAGAAAACCAGATTATGGCAATTGTGACGTTGAATAGGCGAGTTGCAGTTAGAGCCCATAATTCCGAGTTCCTTCCATCTTATCTCATTATGGTCCACCAAAGCCGGGAAAGAATTCAAAGTGTCTGTGCCTAGGAAGAGGAGTCGAGGCTTCTTCTCGTGGGGAATGGCGAGTTGGCGCTCTAGCAGTTTAACCCTAACCCCCCCCAAGGGTTGCTGGCCCTAACCTTCCCCATTCACACAAAGTTAAACACCCATACAGGACTTGGTGCACAGAGGCTGATGGACTTAGTTTTTCTGAGGTATGCCAAACCCAATGCAAAAGCCAGCTGTTATGGGCCTACCAGACCTATCCCCACAGAATTAAACACTTTACTACGCCTGTCGATCCAAATATCTTCGAAATGTGCCATAGCTGCTGAGTACGTCACAAAAATTTGGAGTCCAAAAATGCCGACGCAAGCGGCAATCCGTAGAAAGACCTAAAGAGCTCTCTGATTACAAAGAACTGGACAAACTAACCCAGTTGGCTGTACTCTGGACAGCCGAAGGAATGCAGGGTGCCCTTGTAGTCTAGGATCATGGTGAACTCGCCCCCGCACGCCACCTTGACAATGGGGCGGCCCGAGTACATCAGCTACACGTGCAAAAAAACAAAACAAGACACGACTCAATGTCAGTGACCTCTCAATCCAAGGGTGATTTTTGCCTGGAACCCAGGATGTGTTTTGGGCACAGGTTACCAGGGAAACTTGACCAGTCGTGCAGAAATGATCTCTCTCGCAGCTTGGCGAATTGTTGTTCGTCAATCTTGTATGTCTCCCCATGGAATCTGCGCCTTTTTCCACATTCCTGTTCGTTTCCTGATGCCTTACAGATTTGTTGCGTATTCTCGTTAATTGTTGTTGAAAAAATTCTCCTATGAAAATCTGATTTTCTCAAAGATGTTTTGTGAATTTGGACAACTGTAAAGAAGGACATACCCGGTCTCGTTTCATCCATTTTTGTGCATCTTACTTGAATAATATCTCAGGAAGAGTTTTTCTGGGGTCATTTGAAGATGTTTGAAGTCGTCACCCATTTTATTCTCTAGGTTTTTCATGGGAGTTTTTACAACCCATCTCGGCTCTGTCAATGAGCCTGTGCACCGACGACATCACACTTTATCTTCACGGTCACTTTCCTCCGGAGCCAGTGGGGGCCCACGGTCCACTGAGCACCACAGGAAAGCACATGAGTGAACAAACGGTGTCCTCATCGGTACAGACATCGACAGACCTTGCAGGTTCTGGGTTTTCTATTCAAGAAGAATCCCATCCATTTGTTTTTGTGGTTTTTTGGAGCTGTGATATGATTGATTAGAGATGATACTTGGACTTACCCTGTTGGGGGTGGGAATCGGGGTGTTCTGATGACCGATGCCCAGCTGCCCGAGTTTGTTGTCCCCAAAAGCGTACACCACGCCCTCCTCTGTTGAGAAGTTAAACTGAAATAGATAAACCCATTGCCCGCGTCCCATGACAACGCAACGTCAGGGGTTTGTTTTTTTAGAAAAACGTAATCCAAAAGACTTTCAAGACGGGGAAAAACAGTATGATGGTGCTTTTTGAAACCGGTATTTTGATAAATGGATAAGGAGGAGTAGGGAAGGGCAGATACAATGGATTAGCTGACGGCTAAATCTGTTATTGGCACCTAAATCACTGTTTCAAAATACACCCAAGCTAACTAGTTTCCAGCTTATTGCATTTCTGCCCTAATTCATGAGTTCGCCATATTGAAAACAAACTTAACCCGTTCCGGCCGGGATTCTTTTCACGGCAACTGCCGGGCTGCGGTATGCTCAGTATGCAAAGCTTTGTCCATCAGCAGGCCCCATTGAACCAGCAGCTGCATGGTGAATAGACTGTGTGTGTGATATGCACTAATCCTCACACAAAGCCACGGCTGTGACAGTTCCCGGGATGAAGGGGTTAATTCTGCGATTTGGAAACTTGAGAGTAGAAATGAAGGTGATAAAATGAACTTTCAACACAAATTTGTACTAGTCTGTGGTGAGGAATAATTTCAAAGTTGCTATTGAATATGAAGTAGTGCTTTAAGCCTCATTTTGAAAAATCTCCAAATGGAGGCTAGGAACACGGGCATATCGTAAAAGAGTAGAATGGATTTCGGAAATAAGATTTCAAAAATGACTTCCTTGTGAATGATGTCTATTATGTTGACAGAAACAGTATCAATTTCGGATGCATAAATCAGTCAGAGCTCTGTAACTCTAAATACATCAACAGATGGTCTGGCCTCGGCGTCTGGCTCTGCAGTATCTCTGTCGACGTTTGCAAGTGAATACCTGTCAGACACATGGTGTGGTTCCGGCCGCACGCTGCGTTGACAATGGTGAACTCCTTGAGTCCCTCAATCAGCTTGGGGGCTTCGCACCTGTTCAGGTCTCCGTGACCCAGCTGGCCTTTGTCCCCACGACCTTGAGACGGCAGAGAACCATTTTGAAGAGGGAATTATTATTGTGCGATATCAATTTGGCCTGAGAGAAAAGCTTCGGAATGACTGTGCTCCACTGTAGTTCTCTAGTGACCTACACCTGTCTCTCTCATTGCTGAGAGAGGACTTGGCAACTACCTGCAAAAACGGAACAATCTGAAACCTCTGAATTATCATCACAGGTCTCAGATGTTTTTCTTGTTATTAATTCTTTTTTTTCAATAGAAAGAACGATAACTTGGCAGGGTTCAGTGAAAACCTGTCCCGGCATTTTCAGCAACTCTCTCTTTGCACCATGCCGCAGGGCCCTGGATCCAAAGTGGTCCACGAGATACTCCGCCATCCATCATTTCATTGACAACCTGTCGAACTATCTGCCTTGCAATTGAGGTCCCACCTCACTGACAGATATATTGACCGAGCTTGTGCATGCGCAAATGAAAACCGTAGATTCCTGGTGAGTTCCCACCAATGGACAGCAGTTGTTTAGGTGGGAAAAAATATGCCCTCTCTTTTATTTCCCCTCGCAGTAGAGAGTGCTGAGTCAATTCAAATAATTCACTGTTCGAATATTCGACCGTCAATTCCATTGAATATCCGAATATTCAGTCGTACCAGCCGGCAGAGTGTTGATGAACAAACCATATACAAAATCTGTTGCAATAATGCCCACAATTGTACATTATGATCAACATAATAGCTTCTAACATCTTGGAGTATCTCCAGCCACAATTTAGCAAGATTTTGAGACAAACAATACTTCTTGTCCAGTTGAAAATTTCTATTCCCGTTACATGTTTTAATGAATAATTTACTTTTTGAATCGTTGAAAGATTTCTGTCGCTTTTCATCTCAATTTGCTTGAAACAAGCCTCCATAGTTAAAACAAAAGAAAGTTCTCCTTTTCATGAATTTTGCATTGGTATATCCAAATTTGGAAAATAATATTCAAATATTTGATAATCGATCGAATATTCAGACATTCGGCACAGCCCTAGACAGTTAACTACATTCATTGCTCACACTTGCCGACATTACCTTTCTCAAGTGCAAAAAATATTTGGAATGTGCATCCTTAAACGGTCTTACCCCAGCTCATGGCCTTGCCGGCCTCGGTGATGATGATGCTGTGGCAAGCCGTAGGACCGGAGATGACACTTCGAACCTTGATGCCCGACAGGACGGCCATGCGATGGGGACCCCACAGGTTGCGTCCACCAATCAGCTGCTTGCCAGCTTAACGGAGGGGGGGAAAAAAAGTAAGGAGTTTATTGGGGGCAGAATGATGCACACTCGGGTCATCTTATTTGAACTGAAACATTTGCTACACTGACACAAATGACTCGTAGGCTAATATAGCAGATTACATATCACTGATAAGCCTGACTGTCCGGTTTATAAAAACCTTCTGTAATCTTCACTTAACCCCTTGACGACAGGAATTTCTTGCCGAAAGCCGACTCCAAGGATTCCAGCCTCCCTTGGCCACGAAGGCCACCTGCCAAACCGCAAATTCTCGGTTTGTGGCCCTGCATGCTCTGCACGCTTTGAATTACACGGTGAAAAGGCTGATTGTTCGGTGGCATGCGGCTCTACTCACCCTTCCTCATTCCTGTTGCCTCTTTTCAACGTGGAAACTATTGTGAAGCTGGTGATTATGATGCAAATTCGGTCTTTTCATTTCTGGGCTACACACAAAGACCAATTACCATATATACAAGAGCCAGGGTCTGCCTTCTTTCACCGTGTTCGCTCGAGCGTGGGCCGAGAATAATAGCTGAAAAGCGGGCTGAGGATCTCAATTTTTATCACACGTCTAGCCGAATCCCGCCACGAAGGGGTTAACCCTTGCAACCCTTGCCCTTGCAACCTTGCCCGAGACATTTAAGTGGATTCTGGGACTAGGGACCATCCCCTACGGTTCCTGAGAGAGAGATTTCACTGATACTCAAATGTCATCGGTGCTGTGTTCCTGTTGCATATGCAGAAACACGCTGCACGCATTCAGACGAAAATTGTTCGTGCATACATTACATCACTGATGCTACTTTTTCCTCAACACACTGGCTCTAGATGAGGCAACAAAAGCCATCTGATTTTAGCACAACCTTGACAGAACTTCTACTCCAGTCTGGCATCCTGTTGACCAAAGCACGAGCACGCACATGTACAAGATACACATAAAACATCACCAGGTCAGAGTAAACCTGCCAGGGGCATGCAACAAAACTGCTGGTAGGAAACCACATCCTTTGAACCTTTAGGGCGTAAGATCTATCCAAAGTCATTCTTATGCTGCTTCTTATGCTCGAATTAGACTTTGCTCAAGTGGCATGAGTGGTGAGCAACAATGCTTGTACACATTAGATTTCGTGCTAGACACACGAAGAAACCTGGGAGCTATTCACAAGTCTCTCCTGTATGCAGGTTACTAATAACCAA